GTAGCAGACGCATACAGCGACGCGTTCATTGTCGATTCGCGAAGGTTACTCTGTTTGGTTCCGGAAGCCATGACTGCAGCATCTTAAGCTAAGTCTGGATACTGTCGAACTAAAGCCGATGCCATAGCAAGGTAAATCGTGACCTCCTAGGTTTTAACGTGCAAACACATGCGATATTTTTTGAAACGTTTGGGATGTTTGTCAGTTTCAGTGCACCTACCTCTACCGCAAGCCTTTCCGGCTCGACATCCTCTTACAGAAGACGGCTGTGTGCTGGTAAAATCGAATTCACGGGGTCTGAAACTGATGTAAAGACACTGTTAACAGTAGCATCACATCGTTCCACTCTTTAAAAACTCTTAGATGTCCAATCAACAGCATCATAGAGTTATTTCACATATGGAAGCCTGGTGACGCAATGATGAGTTAAGATGTTAAATAGCAGACACGGACAATGATATACCTCCAGTATGCAGGACTGGGTTCCAATTCAACCATGAGGAATCTTTCTTCCCTGTCCAAAGGAGACGGTGTGAGGTGACTATGCATTTTGCAACCATCCGATATTGATACGGCAGTGTGTGCATAATTTAGACATGATAAACAACGTACTCTGTTATCGTACGCTCATTTCATTAAGAGACATGAAGAACTCATCTTGCATACCAGAATTTAGTTATGATTTTCGTAGTCATTGTATCCGCCGTGAAGTCCGTTTGGAAACCACGGAACAACTGGCTAACGATGTGCTCAGAACAAAGAGTTGGAAGATGGTCTTATGCACTTAACGTTGAATTCATCTCAAATAAAAATATAGCATTTAGTTTCAGCAAAAGGATTGGAAAACCTCCGATTTACCTTCACCACACCATTTCCTTTCGAAGACTGAATTATGTAATTTTCATGACCTTTTCCCATGAGGTATCATATCTGTTGAGCGACCACTGTCTGTCTCCTTCGATAAACATTTCGGAGCTAACGACTAGCTTTAATTGCTATGGTAGATGCTGCGGAAAAAATACGCAGACAACCTACCTACATACTTCGCTCAGAATGTATATTCGTCTTATCGCTGTTGCTTTCTCTTCACAGCGTAGGCAAAATTTCAGTATTTATGCTATGCTATGCTAATGCTATGCGGGACGATGCTTTTTTCTGCTTTCAGCACTCCGATATATACAGTATACAACATAAGGATAATAGGCACCGCTTTACAGCTGGAAGATTCATGATGGTACGAATCAATTACGGTACCACATATCCTCTATACAGGTCAGTTCTTGTTTCCGAGATGATGAAGATTCTTCATGCAGAGGAACTCCGGGAGTAGCAGGCTGATAAATCTGTGTGAAACGGGCGGGTGGTATCTGCAACATCCGTTCCGCGAAGGAGACCTGTACCGTTATAAATAGTACAATGGTCTTGGCAACGAGACTGCATAATTTAAATCTCGCGATTTCCGTTATACATCGCCGCGGAAGCGTTCGGTTTCCTTCCTTTAAGGCCCAAAAATAAACCGGAGAAGCTCGAGTGATATCTGGTATTAGAGAGCACCTTGTAAATCGTCAGAGCAAGAGATCATGAGCAAGCATAAATACGGTATAAATCAGCTTCCATCACATTGTTGATGATGTAAACCATGATCAGACGGTGTTAATCTATCATTAACGATTAACGATGACGCATGGTAGTTCGCATTTTTAACCGGGGTTAAAGTTAGCATCAAAATTAGATTAGATTGTTTTCTAGCAAGATTTACGAGATCGTGTCTCTGCCTGCTTAGAGAAATGAAACACACCCACACATGCTACACACACGTCTGGGCTGGCTTGACCGTTTCCAACGAAGCGATGAAGCAATACTGGTTCTTCTGCTATATCATGGGAGCCCTTACATGGATGGCAAAAGATCCGTGGCCAGCACATCATACTATAGTATTGCAAAGGACCTCAAACTGAGATCTGTTGTCGCGGGGGAAGCGTAAGTGTAAAACTGTTTGTATATGGAGTGAAAAGGAGTGGGTAGGGAGATGAACCCTGGGGAACGTTATGGTCGTTATGCAGCTGATATAACCGTCAGAACGGTATAGCACACAAACTCTTTGCGGTCAGACAAGTACGTCGCGTTCAGAAAGTTCGTAGAATGCAGTGGTTAACCCAATCATCGGAAAGGGTGGAGAGAAGCGTATCTCCTGGGAGATATCAAACGCCAATGAAAATTGAGGGAAAACTGTCATAATTATTTTTTGCCCTTATCGAATTCCGCCGCTACGCGTTGCACAAAGCGGATTGGAGAGCACTCATGAATCACCTGCTTCTTAGACAGATGGTTCGGGAAACTGCTTTTTAGACACCAGGCGCCTACGCTCGAATTATTTATGAGGCTTTGACAGCGGCTACCCATTTCTGTTTTCACCTCATGAAACTCCACACCAGCTGTTCGGATTTCGCCATTTCAGCACCACACTACATCACACATATGAAGGTCATAAACTTCAGCGTTCGTACTTTCTGACAGTCGTTGCCACTTGCTCTGTCTGCGGCCGTTTTTCAAAATACGGGAAGAGTAAATTTTTCGTACTGTTTCTTTGGTGCTTTCCGATGTGCTAGAAACTATGAAAAACGCCTCTGAAAAACGTTGGTCCGTTGAGGGCTCAACAGTCGAATGACAAAAAAGCGAACCATTGATTAAACAAAAAATTAATCACTGATCCACATCGTTTTCCAGAGGTTCAGCTCAAGAGATCCAGCGTGTGAACGAATTTACATGTCTGAGCTAGAATCACGATGACCAAGAAATTCATTCGCTTCTTGAAGGTATTACTGTACAACCAGTCGAGTAGCCGACAGGAAGTCGAAACATTCCATATAAACGTGACGCAGTGATGACCTGGCCTCCTGTTCAGATGAGAGTCTGAACGTGGTGCAAGTACCAGCTCCGGTAGATTGAAAAGGAAAAGAGAAAGTAGTTCGGTTGAGACTGTGGTTGTCGTGCAGAGATAATCTTCTATGACTAAAACTTCACGAACTACTTCACTTGCCTGAAAATCTTGGGCCTGGTGAAGGTTGAGGATGACATCGGCAATTGTTCATGAGGGTTAATTCGCCCAAGGGACAAACGAATAATTATTCGCCAGAAAGTCTACAAGAGAGAAGATTGAAAAACTGTCAATTGGCGTTCGATTAAGGCAAATCTGGGGAAGAATACTGCCCATGCGAGGTAACTGTCATAAATCAATCCATTTATTTTCACATTTCCCAATTCCTTCCGGTTTACGGAATTATCAGTGTTTGGATAAAGGCCAGGCGGTGACTACCGTATCTTGGGCAAACTTTACTAGCTGGATTCCTAGGGGTGACTGCGTTAAGTACTCGCTGTACTCGAGCCGTCTTGCCGCCTTGGCTTTGCGCCCCAGTCACCTGCCATTTGCCTTCGCTAAAGGAGTCTTTCCTGTAGCAGTCGGAAAGTACTTTTTAAACTTATGATGTTCAAAAGTTCGATCCCCTCACTTCCACCTGGTTCATGGTTCATGTCTTAACCCGTTTGACATTTGAAATAGACAAAATACTAGAATTTATAGTCGCTACGATATCCTTTACCTGGGCACTTTCATGCTTGTAACACCATTGCTTCATCGAACCCATATTCAACGCGGCTGTGCTTCGATTCTGGCAGCCACGCAGTGCCACACTTCGTGAAGGCAAGGTCTACATCTTGGTGGCAGCCGCTGCCAACGTGCAGTCTTCTGTTTCCTTCCTCAGAGTGGTATTCCATCTTTCTCGAAACATGGAAA